TCCCATCTTGTAGAATGGAAAATCAGCTGTTGATGCTTCTCCCGTTGGAAGAGAGATCGAGGCATTGCGGAGGCTGAGAAAATTTACAGCCGAATGCAAAGGAAAACCACTCAAGGGATCCAAGAATGGTGCCAACGAGAGCATATTTGGCACGAACTTTTCCTGTAAAATTTCCTCATGGCTTGCTATGGGGTGCCTTTCTCCTCACTCCATGTTTGACGAGCTCAAGAAGTCTACTTCGGGGTATGTTAAAGTAACTCATTTTGTTTCATCCTCTTTTACAAGTTCCCCTGAGGTGGATACATGCTTCCTCAATTTAATAAATGTCTGCGATTCTCAGTGTAATCTTTGCTGCCTTCAACGAGAAAGATGGTGGCAGTAGCTCATCAGTACCGGCTTAAACTGGTTGATGTATGAGCTTCTGTGGAGAGATTTCTTTAGGTAACTTGATACGTAGTCAGGCTCTTTTCAACACTCTAGGATTTTGTATATTTGTCAAGTGTCATTACAAAGAAAAATGAAGATATAGTACTCTCTAGTCTCCATATCATGTAGAACATTGTATTTTGTGGCCTTGCATACTATTGGCCTGATGGATATTTTTCATTTATCTTAATGGAGAGGCCAAAGCCCTTGCATTCCTTAAAAAGTATATATATCCCATCCCCATTTTACACTCCAACTTGTATATTATATCTAGATCATAACTCTTAGGAATCTGTACTGATTTTCCTGTTTTCTGGTTTGTCGGATTCATCACTCGGAAATACAGTTCTGGGACACAACAAAATGATGCTCCGGTGACAGCTTGTACCAGTGCTGCAGCTTAAGGAGACTAGACGAAAAGTAAAATGGGATTTGAGACGACGTTTTCTTTTGTATCCTACTGTCCATTCAGGTCTATAGTTTTTTTGTCGCTTTTTGTTTCTCATTGGTCTTTTTCAAATCGAATTAGCAAAATCTATGTCTCTTTACATAATATGGTACTCATTTCGTGAACCAAGTTATTTTAAATTGCAGTGTAAGGTTGAAATCAGAAAGCCTATATGTTTTCATTCGTTTGGAGTTCTATGTATTCTAAAGGTTCCGACATCTCTCAATGTCTACTAATTTTCTACAATATCAGTTTGTTGAGATTCGTAATGTCTTTAACGTATTTTGTGGTTTTGAAAGATGTTCGACTTTGATAGGCGAAGGACCATTGCATGCATGCAAACAAACAATTACGTGCAGAAGTGAGGCCCATGATAAGTGTGGAAAAACACGCTTATTTGGTACTTTTTGGAATCAATTAGAATTGATATTGAGTATATTTCTATGCATAATTGTGTACTTTTCGTGTTTATAGGTGAAAACCCCGAAAAGAGGAAGAACGGCGTGAAAAAGAACGAAAAATGACCTAAAGTGAACAAAAATGTGAAGTTAGGGATTGAAATGCACAAGCCTGAAAGTTGAAGGACTTGAAGTACAATTTATCAAGGGAATAAGTGAAATGAAAGTAAAAAATCCAGGGACCAAAATGTACTAATTCAAAGTTGAGGGACCATTTTGCCACTTTTCAAAAGTTTGGGGACTTGGATGCAATTTTCCCTAGATATTTTGGAAACTTAATTTCTAAGTTATCAATATCTCACCTATATATACTACATATGCTAGGACGTTTTTTTTGGAAAGAAAAAAATAGGATTAGTTTTTAGTTTTTTTAGTTTTATAGTTTATTTTTAGTTTTAGATTTTTATAGTTCTCTCTTCTCTTCTCTTCTTCTTCCTTTTCCTGTTCTTTTCTTTTTCTTTCCTTTTCTTTTGTGTTCTTGGCTCATTGAGGAGGAGAAATGGAAGAGCAACAAAGAGATACATCAAGGGAACTTGGAGAAATCATGGGGAGAATTCAAAGTTAAGCTAAAAAGGGGTTTCTTCTATATCTTTGAGTTTTCTATTTTTTTCCACCATGTTTGTAATGTATTGTATAAAATATTCTCTTTGTTTTCATATATATAAAATGAGCTAAGTTTATTGTGTTGGAATTTATGATTGGAACTTAACCTAGTTGTTTCATTGATTATCGATATATCTACATGTTTAGTGATAAATGCAGTTGTTATCAAAATCATAGTGTATCGATCATCATGTTTAAGATGATTTCATTTTTG